TTACCATTCAATGCATGCAAGCATTGTTCAGCCATGTAAATGTTGTCCAATCGGTCCGCTAGATCCCAATCGTAAGTATCATTCGTTGTCTCATCACCCTATCTCTTTTCATTTGGTCATCTTATTTAAAAAAACGCATTTTTACGCAGTTTCTCTGGTGCACTTGTTTTTTGTATTCAAATAAGACGCTGTATAAGACAGTGCTTTCTGTAAATGTTTGCAAAAGCATTATCTTGAAACATGAAAACCAAGAAATAATAAAATAAATAATAGAAAGACCTGGCACTTTATTAATTAGGTATCCATGACAGCTTATCTGAAAACGTATAGCCACATTGACCGTTCGCCGCTATTAGATATATTTTACTGTATATGATACTTAGATTTATTCCCTATCTCTCACCCTACTCATTCGTAACTCTGATGCTGTTCTTCAATTATGCAGTTGCAATGGTTCTGTCTATAGACACACTTTTTAGATGTCACTGATGTGTGTTGAGCATCACTACTTCGTCTGAAGCGTTGCTTTATCTAGATCACGATGAGGTGCCTTACCAAACAGAAATTTTAGTTTCGTACTAGTTTTTATGTTGGACCTTGAAGTGACAACAAATTTGTCAGTGGGTGCTTTAAAGAAACTGCTAAAAGTTTTCATTTCGAGCGAAATTTTTCAAAAGTACTTGCCCTTCTAACGTAAAAAATGAAACCTGGCAGAAGATGATTTTTGCCCTTTCGCTGCAAACATCATGAAATTAGCACTTCAGCACATTGCCTTACGCAGTTTCTGAAGGCAAAAAATGGGAACAACTTGCTTGTAAAATCCTAATTACTCTTTTATTGCGATCTCTTTCATTTTACGTTCCACGACGGTGACCGAGGAGAAATCGTTGAGCTATCGTAGGAAACGTAGGGAGGCGTAAGAGAGCGTCGGAGGAAACGGTGAGCTATAAAATACGGCTGCAGATAGCACTATGCTCATGGAAACCATGAACCAGGGGCAGCAGCAGCAGCAGGAGCGTCCTTACAGGATTGTTACCTATGCAGCGGTCGGCTTCGCCCTACTTGCCCTTGCAACAATCTGTCTGACCATGCCGATCGTCTACCGCTTTGTTGATCAGATCCATGAACAGACCAAAAAAGATCTGGAATTTTGCAAAACTTCAGCTAACGATATGCTTCTGGAAATACTGGCCAAGCAACGCCAAGCAGCAAACAACAGGACGAAGCGGCAAACTGACGGTTGTGGTGGCTGCTGCCGACCTGGGTATCCCGGGCGACCTGGACCACCCGGAGAAAACGGAAGGCCAGGACCGACCGGAGCAGTGGGACGACCAGGAAGACCAGGAAAACCACCAGTGATTTGCGAGGAAGTTGCTTTTCCACCGTGTAATCCATGCCCACCAGGAAAACCAGGACCCCCTGGACTTGGTGGCGCGCCTGGTCGACCGGGAAGACCAGGGCCACCAGGCAGACCAGGGAACGATGGTAGTGCTGGACCGCAAGGACCGATGGGACCACCTGGCCCACCCGGAAAACCAGGAGATGATGGCGAACAAGGTATCCCGGGAAGGCCGGCGTCGTCTACACCTGCAGTTCCAGGAGATCCAGGTCAGCCGGGAGAAACAGGAGCACCCGGCCCACCCGGACCAGATGGGCGTCCAGGATCAGATGGGAGACCGGGAAGCCAAGGACTAAACGGACCTCCTGGACCAGTTGGGCCACCAGGAAACCCAGGCCGAATTGGCGAACCGGGCGCACCTGGTGAACGCGGTCGAGGAGGTGAACGAGGTGTCTGTCCAAAATATTGCTCAACTGATGGTGGTGTGTTTTTCGAAGATGGATCACACGGTACTTTGAGTGGTTGAATTGTTCGATTCAGATAACTATTTTCACACTTTCCAAGATTTCTCGGAACTGATCGTCTTGAATCGCTGTTCCGTTGTATGGCACAAAAATTATGTCCAGTACGGGTAAATATGTTTCCAGCCTTCCGAAAATGTAAAGCCAGCGATCCCAGCTTTTTCAGTCTCTTCGTCATTTATAAGTTCAGGTGACAGAAGAAAAAGGTACGCCTGGAAGTTGATTTCTTTTAGAAGAAATGGAGTCAAATTCCATGTTTTGCGGCTCCCGAAATACTTGAACAACACGGTCCTTCTACGTAGCTGGTCACTTCTCCACATCCACTGCTACTTTGACCAGTGCTGGCTAGCCTAGCGGCTAGCCTCCTAGAGCTCTCGGCTTTTGTTTTTACATAAGTTATCATTCTGCTGTCAAATTTAAATTTTTTTTTCTTCGGGATTTTTCTGAGAATAATCCCGTGCAATAGCTCAAATCTCCCCAGTTTTTCTTCTCATCTGTTCAATGCTGGGGATGTTAAAAGCAGAAGGCAAGGCGCCCATTTGTTGTGGATGTTTATAAATGATGTTAGATGTTTATAAATG